TAGTAGTAGTAGTAGTAGTAGTAGTAGTAGTAGTAGTAGTAGTAGTAGTAGTAGTAGTAGTAGTAGTAGTAGTAGTGGTAGTAGTAGTGGTAGTAGTAGTGGTAGTAGTAGTAGTAGTAGTAGTAGTAGTAGTAGTAGTAGTAGTAGTAGTAGTAGTAGTAGTAGTAGTAGTAGTAGTAATATAATAATAATAATATATAACATTTATAGAGCGCATTTCCAAAAAAAGTAGCTCAATGCGCTTTACATTGGAATACCCATTTTTCAAAAACCTTTCTTACTACTTCCTTTCTTCTCACGCAATATACATTAATGCACACACACACACACACATACACACACACACACACACACACACACACACACACACACACACACACACACACACACACACACACAGAGACTATTTTCATCCAGACATAGGAAAAGAACAAATATAATGAAAGCTAACGTTAAAAGCTTATGAAGGATAGGCCTGTAGGAACAGAAAATGTTTAAGATGTCTTTTGAAGCTATCAAGTGTTCTTATTTGTCTTAGTTTCATGGGTAATCTGTTCCACATAAATGGACCAAGATATGAGAAAGATCTCTCTCCATATGATTTGTATGATTTTACAGGTGTCACAAGTAGGGTGTTATCGTTCGATGATCTTAGGTTTCTCCCTGGTTTATATATACTGATAAGTTCTTGCAGATAAAAAGGAGCAGTTTTATTTACACATTTGAAACACATGACGCAGATTTTAAATATTATTCGTTCTTTTACAGGTTTTTAGTAGTAGTAGTAGTAGTAGTAGTAGTAGTAGTAGTAGTAGTAGTAGTAGTAGTGGCACGGCAAACCTCCAGAGCATGACAACCATCCTGTGTTTAAAAAGACTGAGATGACTGGGCCATGTCAAGAGAATGGACTACAACCGGATTCCGAAGCAACTTCTCAATGGAGGACTTGCTCAGGTAAAGAGACCAAGAGGAATACCAAAGTTGAGGTACAAAGACAACTGCAAAAACAGCTTATCTAAGCTTAGAGTAGTTGTTAGCATCTGTGAAGAAATAGCTGAGAACAGTAAACAAACAAAAAAATTAATTTTAAAACCATTGAGGAAAATGATAAAGGACAGATCTATAATGCTAGAGAGCTGCCTTAGAAACAAACAGGCTGAGAAGCGCCAAGGACGAAAGGAAAACAGCTGAAATACAGAGCTTCGATGCACCTCACAGACATGCAAGCACTGCGACAGAATCTGCGCTTCAAACATAGGATGAATTTGCCATGAAAAAAGCTGCATGAAAACAACTTTGAGACCATCTTAAGCTAAATTGACCGTCTGCATAGACGCAAAGAGCCATACTATTATTATTATCATTATTATTATTATTGTTATTATCATTATTACTATTATTATTATTATTGTTGTTGTTGTTATCCTCATTATTATCATTATTTATTACCATTATTGTTATTATTGTTATTATTGTTACATTTTTTCATTTTTATTATCATTATCATTATATTATTATTATTGTTGTTATTATTATTATTATTATTATTATTATTATTATTATTATCAATATTATTTTTATCATTACTATTGTAAAATGTGTATAGGGATCAAATATTACAGAAACGTTTTTCATTTTACTGGATCGAGATTTTTTTTTCGAAAAATATTTTTGTTTGATTGCTGGCCTACTGGAGTGCCGTGTTAAGTTGTCTGCCCATTTGAGACTTAATTAAAAGAGCTAGAATATATTTTTAACGCGGACAGACGAACGTGAACAAGCTGCAGCAGATATACTTAAGGCCAGCCACAGCTTTCCATACTCGCCCGAGAGGTCGAATTGTGCTAAAGTATTGATTTTTCAATGTTTTCATCCTTGGACTGGGAAAAATACCCTGAACACACTGAACCAGGCTCCGAACTCGCAAAATGAGTAGAGTTGCGATTAAAGTAGGTCTAAACGGCTAAGTATTTTCAGTTTTCCTAAATTTCATTGAGTCACCCCCTGATGACGTGCTCAGAATCGGTGTTAGCAAAAAAGAAAGCATACAAACCATACGAGTGGTGTATTTTTTAAAGTGCATTTCTTTATTTATTATTTATTTTCTTTGGGGTTCGGAGGGAGGTCCGATTTTATTTTCAATAAACAACTTTGAGGTGGGTTAGGTTACAATAAAGATGATTTCCCAAAATCTACCTTTTCAATCTCAGAAATGTCACATGCTTCTTTGACAATGACAACGACAAGAACTATTAATTTCGCAGGGAGAAATTTGTCTTGGTCTTTTACAATGGCAGTAGATGTTACAAAGCTTAGGGGCACTCACGCATACGCACAACAAGACAGGACATTAGTATATACATGTCTCACGTGCTGAAACACGCGCTCCGTTAAACTCTCTCTCTCTCTCTCTCTCTCTCTCTCTCTCTCTCTCTCTCTCTCTCTCTCTCTCTCTCTCTATCTCTCTCTCTCTC